ATAGATAGATAGATAGATAGATAGATAGATAGATAGATAGATAGATAGATAGATGCATGATGGATGATGAATAGGTGGCTTGTAGATGAGTGATGAATGGATGATTTGATTGGTGGGTGATAGGTGGATGGGTGAATAGATGGATGGTGGATGATGGATGGGTGGATGAACGGATGCACGATGGTTGAATGATGATTGGATGATAAATGGATGATGGATAGGTGGGTGGGGTGGATGGATGGATGGATGGTGAATGGAGGGGGAAATGAGATGTACCAAAGAACAAACCTATATAAGATGCTTGTCTGCCCTAGCAATTTGGGGAATGCCAATTAAAATCATGATTTCACCAGTCAGATTTTTAAAAATGAAAGCCAGGAATACCAAGCATTGTGTCAGAAGAAAAGCAGTGACAGTTCCAACAGACTGCCAGTAACAATTTGAGTCAACATGACCTATTTTATTGGCCATTTGTTGTTCACTGATAAAACTGAAGGTGGATCTAGTTTATACCCAGGCATTCCATATCAAGGTACACAGCCCAGAAAAGTCCCTGTCACAGGAGCGACGAAAGAAGTTTGCAACGGAGCGATCTTTGAAGCAGCCAGACACTTGTAATGAGATAATAGGTAAAGACTGATAAATAATAATAGCCATCCAAAAGGTACAGTAAAAGTTAACAAACTAGAAGTACCTGCATCAAAATTCATGACTACCACAAGTACATTCTAAGGAAATCACAGAACATTGAAATTCATCTCATTTACAAAAAGTTAAAAATATACAAAACATTTTAAGGATGATCATTATTCCATAACTGAATACTATTCAGAGATAGTGCTTCCTATGTATGACATAAAATATAAAAAACTTCCAATTTTCAAGCCTCATGTGCAAGACAGAAGCTACTTTTAGAAAGGGAAGTAAGAGGGTTTGTCTAGGAAAATAGGTGCCTTGGAGGTTTCTGGACAGTGTTGCACAGGTATCTTTTTCCCTTCAACCTTTCATAAGTAAAATGTATTATAATTACACTTAAGAATAGAAGAGGCAGGTACTTCAGATGTAACTCAGTGGTGGAGCATTTGTCTAGCATGTGAGAAACCCTCAACTTGATGCTCAGCACCACATAGAGATTGGGATAGAGAAGGGGAGAGGAGGAGAAAAAAAATGGTCTATCCGACTCCAGCATTTTTCTAGGACTCTGGTGCAACGGTATCCCCAGCTGTTCCCCTCAAGAAAGTAATCCTAAGCAGGGAAGGAAGAGGGGCTCTAATTTTCCAAGTATGGGTTCATATCAGCACACAGTACGACATTGTCACGTAGGCTGTGGTACTTCCTAGAAGGAAGCCTGCCTGGATCCCTCAGTGATATCTGTTAGGCCTTTCTGCCTATTTCTTTAGAACTTTTAGCTGCCTCACACAGTTAGGAAAAGCGACTGGGAATCAAACCAATGATGTTAAGAGCGTAATTTTTTCGTGTTTATAGATGGTATCTCAGAGAAAAATCCCTGGCACTAGCGCTACCTAGTTCAAAACTACACTACTAAATAAATAGCATGTCTTTTTCCCCTCACATACTCCTCAGCTTCATCAGGCACAATTTTAATTTGCAAGTTCAATTTTCAAGTATTACGGCTTGTGAGGATAAAAATATCAATCTATGATAGAACCAGTCTCCAAAAATAAAGTTGTTATTCATACATAATTTAAGGAATTTCAAAACTATTATCTCAAACAATTGGATCTTCTTCATTTAACAGAGAAATAATTTTAATGATTATTTTTATAATGAATAATTTGTACCTGTAGCATTTCTAAGTTCATAAACCTTCTAGCCAGGAAACTTCCACAACCCTGTCATAATTCATCTGGAAAAGAGAACAAATGCCATTACTAAAATAATTTTCCCAGGATCAGAGGATGAGTTCACGGCAGCTTCCTCTTTGACTGCCAGGGTCTGGAGTCTCCATCCACAGTTATTGCGCTCTTACCAATTCAAACACTGCACCAAGCCCTGTTTCTTCATCTCATTTCATTCTCATAGCTCCTTTGCAAACCTTCAAATATACCAGGGCTTTCTTTTTCATCCAAAATTTATGGCCATCATTTCTCAACAGTTTGAAAATTCTTTGATCTCAGCTGCACTAAAATGAAAAGAAAAGGAAAAAAAAAAAAAAAAAAAAAAAACCTTTTTTTTTTCAAAAAAAAAATTTTTCCAAGGTTTTTTTTTTTTTTTTTTTTTTTTTTTGGTTTTGGGTTTTTTTCTAAGACTAAATATGGAGTTGTTTCCAGGCTTCAGGAATGACCAAGTAGCACTTTTTTCATCATTTGACCATTCTGCTTGTTGGCAGACCTTTGTAACCTTGAGTCACCTACGGAGAACTGAAGTATTATTGTAATTGATTTCTCACTGTTTGCTGAGAAGCAGAGAACTTTCCGTGTTCTCATAAATAATTCCATTTCTCTATGTCAATGTTAATTGAACTTACCTCATGTTGTCAATCTCTCCTTTTTCCTTGCAGGTGATGTCATTGTCTATATTAACGAAGTTTGTGTCCTTGGACACACTCATGCAGATGTTGTCAAACTGTTCCAGTCTGTTCCTATTGGTCAGAGTGTCAACTTGGTGTTGTGTCGTGGCTACCCCTTGCCCTTTGACCCTGAAGATCCTGCTAACAGCCTGGTGCCACCCCTTGCAATAATGGAGAGGCCACCTCCAGTGATGGTCAATGGAAGACATAACTATGAAACCTATTTGGAATACATTTCTCGGACCTCACAGTCAGTCCCAGATATCACAGACCGGCCACCTCATTCTTTGCACTCCATGCCAGCTGACGGTCAGCTAGATGGCACGTATCCACCACCCGTCCATGATGACAATGTGTCTATGGCTTCGTCTGGAGCCACTCAAGCTGAACTTATGACCTTAACCATTGTGAAAGGTGCCCAGGGATTTGGCTTCACTATTGCTGACAGTCCCACAGGACAGCGGGTGAAACAGATACTTGACATTCAGGGATGCCCTGGACTGTGTGAAGGAGACCTCATTGTTGAGATCAACCAGCAGAATGTACAGAACCTGAGCCATACGGAAGTAGTGGATATACTGAAGGACTGCCCCATCGGAAGTGAGACGTCTTTAATCATCCATCGAGGAGGTAAGACAAACATACATGTGGCAGTACAATGTATGGGTAGGTTAGAAGAACTCTTTATACTAATATTGTTCAAAGGAAGGTTTCTGTAGGTTGGCATAAAATCATGCCTTTTTAAAAATTATATAAAAAACAGGCAGAGAGACAAATGTGGATTTAGGATCCAGGTTCCTGAACTTTTGCAATGTATCTTTACCTGACTTAGAGCAATGTGGATTTAGAGGGTAAAAAAATAGACCCGCACCTATGGATATGTTGTCTTTTGTCACAAAGGGCGGCTATGCAGAACTCAGTCCATGCCTGTTGATTTACCGAGAAGCCCGCTTTTCTAAAGGAAGCAGTACTAGAAATTGTGGGGGGGCGCTGCAAGCCAGCAGTGGGGAGACCAGCCAATTCCCCCAAATACAAGTGCTCTGATAATCCTCGTAAGGACCATTGGGAGCTGGATTCCAATAAGCTAAAATAAGTGTGAGTAGGAATGTTCCGCTATTATGGGACCCAAGTATCCGCCACTGTGGGTAATAATGTCGGCCACGAACCTGGGAGAAAGCGACGGGACCAGGTCAGGACCGGGACCTCTAAGAAGAGCGTGGAACACAATTTAAGGGAGTGTTGGAGCTTTGGGTCCTCATTGCTGTTTTCTCTCGCATTCGTAGAAAATTACTGAGGCAGTGCTAAGGGCCGTGCCTTACTCTCTGTTTACGTGAAGGACGAGTTGCAGACTGATACCTGATTTCCCTCTGTAGCAGGTGATAGGACTTGAAGTCCTTGGTGATGATCACAGCAGGGTTACAATGCCATCTCACCTCCTGGTGACATTCTCACTATTGAGCGGCTCAGCGAGCTGAAAGGAGTTCCATGTATGATTGACTTGGCTCTCTCTGAGCTGTTTTCCCTCCAAGGAGGTAGTACAGTTGATTCACCAAATACTATGCATTTGTGAGCAACACCATACAAAAAGTTCCCGTTACCAAGGGGGGATTAATGTGATAACAAAATAATCACACATTTCTCCTTCTCAGGCCATTGTTATAAAATAGCATGTGAATTTTGGTAATTAAATGTTGACAGTGTATTTTGACTTCTTGCATTGCCTGTTTAAGATCAAGGCAAATATTTCTAATTTAGACCGCCATATATTCCTAATGTTCAATTGAAAAATCAAATTTTTGCACAATATTTCTAATATTAAGTGGTATAGCTGAAAATTGCTGTATTGTAGCCATTGTTCAGCTCACAGAAAGAAATTTAAACACATTTGCTATAAAATGGCTTCTATTAAATTGTAGCGTAGCAGGAAAAAAAATGCTTTGAAATCCTTGCTATTACTGTAATTTGTGCCTTTCTGGAACTATTTTATTGTGTGTGCCCATGTGTTCAGCTGGGCTGCGTTGCTTTCCTTCCCCCTGCCCCCTTCCACAGCCTCTCTGATCGCTCAGCCCCATAGTGATGGAACTTCGGTCTGCATTTTGCTTGTGAAGCCTTTGCTGTCTCGCTAGTGCAGCACCACAGAACCCAGAAGTCCTTGTGAGAAACCTGTTGAGGTTCCCAGGATTCCTACAGTGTTTACTCTTCTTTGAAGTTAAAAGGAGTCCGTGCCGTGTTTGCATGGTGACATTTATTTTGATCATAGGCTACTCGGAAGTGTCTCTGGCCTCATTGGGATGAGCAAAGCTCCTCAAGGCGAGGTGCTCATGTCAGGACCATGGCTGAAGGTCTTGTTAGTGTTTTTATCTGTAAAGCAATGACGCCTGTAGTTGAACCTTTTAGTAACTAGTTCAGAAAGCATCCAATGAAAAGTCATTTCCTGTGCTATCTACATGTGTAGTCTCTTCCCAAGAGTCTGGTGGCTCATCTAGAAAACACGAGCTAACACCAAGTTGTGTATGTCTAGCCTTAAAATGTCTTGTTAGAAGGATATAGTTAACTGGTTAAACATATTCCACGTGGTGTAATTTAGACACATAACATTTGTCAGTTGCAGGTATATGGTTCGTTAAGTTCCATGGTATATCTACATAATGAGCATCCATTCTCCCGTGTACCCTCAGATCTGTGTGTCACCCATCTCCTCTCCTGCCTTCAGCCTCAAGCAACCGCCAATCTGCTTGTCTACAGGGTTTCACCTTTTAATAATATTTTCATGACTAACATCACAGAGCACATAGTGCTCCTGAGACTGTATGAATAGTTTGCTTCTCCTGTTGCCCTTTAGTATTCAGTGGTACAGACCTCTTATTAATCTACTCACAGTGGCTGGTTATTTGAGTTGTTTTCATCTCTGGGCATTTATGAATAATACATTTGTGAACTTTTGGATTCAACTGTTTGCTTATGCAGATATTCTCATTTTGAGGAGTGGATACCCAGAAATGATATTTTTGGATTATATTAAAATATATATTTAAACTGTTAATAATTTGTCTAAATGGCTTCCAAAATGGCTAGCCTTTATAGTGCCTAAGCAAAGTCTGAGAGGCCCAGTTTTTGCTAGTTTCTCACATTTGGTTTAATAAATCTTTAACGCAGTCATTCTAGTGTACTTACTGAAACTTTTAGATGTTATTTATTGTTTTTTGTTTTGGTCTTTTTTTTTTTTTTAGTTTTTTTGTTTGTTTTGTTTACTTTTGATTTTTCAAAACAGGGTTTCTCTGTGTAGCCTTGATTGTCCTGGACTGGCTTTATAGACCAGGCTGCCCTTGAACCCACAGAGATCCACTTGTCTCTGCCTTCCTGAGTCTTTTTCATGGTTTTAACTTACTTTTTTTTAATATTTTCATATGTTTATTGACATTCATAAACTTTTTTAGTAATCTGTCTTTTTTTTTTTTTTTTTTTTTTTGGTACTGAGGCTTAAGTCCAAACTCTGATACAGGCTTGAAAGTTTCTGTCATCCTAATCTTCAAAAGCTCGTTGTATATACAAAATCTGGGTGACTTCTTTTAAAGACAGATGATTTACAAATGCTTCCTCTAGCGCTGTGGCTTATCTGTCATTTTCTTGCCTTTTGAAGCAGAAGCACAGGAGCTTTGACTGGGCTAAGTTAAATGGCCCAGGCTCAGTTTAACATGGCTCACTCTTTCAGTGTCACAGCTCTGCTTAACCTAACGTCACAAAGCTTTTCTCATGTTTTCTTCTAGGGATTCTAAAGTTTTAGTGTCCATGTTCAAGTCTAGGCCAATTTAAATTTAATTTCTATGTAATATTAGGGACTTAAATCCATTTTCTTTTTTGCACATATTGTTCTAGTACTGTTTGCTGAGAAAACAACAAAATCTATCCTTTCTTGTTGACTGGCCTTGTTTTTTGTGATGAAAATGAACTCACAAAGATACACAGGTTTGTTTCCAAATACTCCACTCAGTTTTCTTGGCCTGCATCTATATTCTTATGTTGTAACACACTCTCTCGATTACAGCAGCTTTGTGTTAAACATTGAAATCAGTGTGAGTCCTCCGACTTCTTCTTTACAAATTGTTCTGGCTATTCTAGGTCCTTTGCATTTGCAAATAAATAGAGATGTTAGGATTGGCATTTTTTAATACAAAGTTTTTATAAATTCTTGGAATTTCATATGTGTCTGCAATGTACTTTGATCCTGTTTATCCCCCAGTCCTCCCTAACTTTTTCCCGAGCTACCCCACTCCCCTCTCCATCCCAACTTCATGCCCCACCCCCTTTTAATAACCCACCAAATCCAATTTGTGTTACCCATATATGCCAGGATGTGGTGCCATCCACTGGAGCATGGTTGACCTTGGAGGCCATACCCTTAGAGAAAATGGACTCCTCCTCTCAAACAGCCATCAGCTGTCCATAGCTCCGCTGTTAGCAGTGAAGGCTCGTGCTAGAACACTGACTAGCTCGATTTTGTGCGGATCTTGTGCGCACACACAGCTGCTAGGATTTCATGAGTGCAGTTGTCCTGTCCAGAAGGCACTACTTTAGTTGGATCCTCTCCAGCCTCTGGTTCTGAAAACCTTTCCACCTATTCTTTTGAAATGGTCTCTGAGACTTGAGGAGGAGTGTGATATAGATGTTCTGTCTGTGATTCAGTAGTCTGTTCATCCCAAAGGTGGAAGGAGAAAGACCACTGATTCAAATCATCATGGCCAAGTTAATCAAAGCAAGCAAGTATTTAAAGCAAGCCTTTCCATTCATGTACATGAGCTGCTGCCTTCAGTGTTTTGAGAGGTCAGCATTGAATGTGAGGAAGAAGACTCAGGGGTTGGGGGCTTCCAAATGGGAGGAAGTAGGCAGGGTTACAGAAGCAGAAGAGCAGAACAGAACAGGTTGTCCACACAAGACAATCATGTCACAGCAGTGCTGGCACAGGACATGCAAGGCAGAGGCAGGCAGATCTCAGAGTTTAAGGCCAGCCTGGTCTATAGACAGAGTAAGACCTGGACAGTCAAGGCTAAACAGAGAAACCCTGTCTCAAAAACAATAAAAAAGAAAAAAAAGAAAAACAAAATGAGGTGATCACAACAGATAGCCACAACAAGGTAGTTGTACATGGTCATATAACCTTTTGAAACAAAGGAAGGCTTGCTAGATGGTTATAAACAACTTTTTGAAACAAAGGCATGGTTGCCATTCCTAGAACCATCTGTACAGAACCATTTGTAGTTAATGTTAGAAGTGGGACACAGCCCAGTCCTCCAGAAACAGATTTAATCATAAACAGGAATGAATCTAGTTTGTCTTTGCTATAGAATGGCCTCTTAAGCCTAAGGTGGAGGCAAGGCTAGTTCTTCAAATCCTCAGACGATGGCTTCGTACTTACTCTGCTCAGTAAAAGAGGGTATGCTGGGAGCTGGAGAGATGGCTCTGAGGTTAAGAACACTGGCTCTTCCTCCAAAGGTCCTGAGTTCAATTCCCAGCAACCACATGGTGGCTCAAAACCCTCTATAATGAAATCTGGTGCCCTCTTCTGGCGTCTAGGCACACATGCAGGCAGAATACTGTATAAAGAATAAATACACAAATCTTAAAAAAAAAAA